AAAGTACCATACAGTATGTACTTAGCAGAATCATGGCCCATTGCACTGTAGTCCTCAATCATCAAAGAAATCTGTATATTCAGTGAATCATGTGAGGAAAATGTATTAATATAGTTAGGAAAGATTTTGAAAGTCAAAATAAAAAAAAAATTGAAGCAAGTAGAAAAGTCACTTGACAGAACTCCTCATTCTGCAACAACTAATCCAGGGTGGGGGAACCTGTGGCCGAAAGGCCACATTCTAGGTCCTCAGGTGTGGCTTTTTAACTGAGTTCAAGTTTTACAGAACAAATCCTTTTGTTAAGGGGATTTGTTCTGTGAAGTTTAGATTCAGTCAAAGGGCTGCACTTGAGGACCTAGAGGGCCGCATGTGGCCTCGAGGCTGCAGGTTTCCCTGACTAGCTTTTCTGTGTGTGTAGGTGATAGAAACCCTACTGCTAAGTACATTTTTAGTGATCTGTAGCATATCAATGGAAGTCGTTTCTTCAAACACAAAATAGTGGTCTTATTATTGCCCTTTATACTTTATGATACTTTCCCATATGCCAATTCTGGTTACCTGTGTGAAGGAATGAGTCTTCTCTTTCATTTGTTGGGAATCATATCTGTAACTCATTGTGTATTTAAAGTCTTTTGTTTTTAATGGTGTGAAATGATTTTTTAAAAATAAGGTGGGCAAAAAAATCTATTAAAATCATTTTATATCTTGTTATGAGGTGTAATACTTGTTATGAGGGTTTTAATTTTCTTTCAATGAGAGGGGGCAGAAAGAAAATAGATTTTTATCCATTGAAAAAAATATAATTACATTTTTAAAATAACGTAGTATACTGGAGTAAACATTGGCCTCAAAGTCAGAAGACTTGAATTTGAATCCTGGCTATGGAACCTCAGTTTCCTCAGATGTAAAATGAGATTAGATTAAATGATGTCTAAGGTTCCTTCTCGCTCTAAGTTCTAATGAGCCTATTAATGCTGATATAAACTGTGAAAATGGAGGTGTCTTGTCAGTAAAAGGTGAATAATGATGCTTACGTTGCAAGCTCAAAAAGTACTATAGAAATATTAGTTATTGCTCCGGACATTCACTCCCCTTTGTGGCACCAGAGCGAGGGTCATAAAAAAAAGAGCTTGAGGAAGTAGAAAGAATTGGTAACAACGGGAAATCTGAGGGAGCTGATGCAGTTTACAGTTTCCAGAGAAAGATGGTGCCCTCCATTTAGAGACTAGGTCAGATTCTAAATTTTGAACAATCAGGAAAAAAGTTTAACTTTATAGGAAGGGAGATTTAGCCTTAATAAGAGATTACTAAATGTATTTCATATTAAAAACAGGCAAGAATTAGGTAAAAATAGGCTTTCCAAAGGACTAGGATGACAGAGACCTTTAAAAAAAAGGGGTGGAGGTAGGTACAAAGTCCAGGGCAGAGCATCCTGAGGCTCAGGGGAAGAATCTTTAGGGCTCAACTAAGGAAGTGCCTTCTCTAGCCAGGGCATAGGGAACAAAGCACCGCCTAAGAGAGCTAGAACTATGACAGAGCGGTCATGTAGCAAAGCCCAGGTCCATGAAAGATGATGGGGAGAGGAGCAGGGGAGAGTGGACCTACCAGACATACTTGAAGGAGATACAGAAAGAGACGGAAGATTCCACCAGACACAGCAGCCATGTCAACTGTAACCTATTTCAGGCTCGGATTAAAAGGAATGTCTTTCATTAGCCTCCTCAAGAGACTGAAAGAAGTAATGGGTCCAAAAAGGAGTGGGAAAGCAGGAAGAATAATTTGTCTCAACTGGTGACATTAATCCTTTCTCATGAGTTATATAAACCTCAGTATGTACTTAGTAATACTCTTCTCATCTTTTCCCAGGGCCTGATGCACTGCTTTGCATAGGAAGGGTATGGAAAACAATGCAAAACATTATCCTGCCTTTACATGGTGGGATTTCAGTCTTGGATATCTTCTGGGGTGTCTCCATCTTCACCCTGGCTAGGTAATATCATACTTGATAACTCACATCTTCTAACTGTAAGATGGAGCAGTAACAGAACACACTCCTTCCCCCACTTCACTCTAGCCAGTAGAAGTATAGTCTCCTAAGGGGCAAGAATGAGGGGGTGCCAGCTGGCTTCTTGTTTCTTACTGAGGTCACACTTCTGGGATTCATAAAGGACTTCTTCCTGGCACAGCTGACAACAGGGAGGTTGATTTGGTCGAGGAGATGGAGATGAGGTCCTCGCACATGACTAGAAGCATTTGACCAGAAGTACTAGGCATGGCTTTAACTTACTACTTTAGCCAAAGTTGGAACAACAGAGTAGCCTGAAAGGGTCATCAACTTCGTTGCAGGGAAATGTGGATGAGAAGACTGCTCTTTTGGTGAACAGAGGAAAAGATTAGAATTTTGTTTCTTCCTATCTCTTCTTTTGTCTGTCTGACTGTCTCTCTCCCAAGAAATGGAAAGTACACGTATGTGGCTTCATGTTCAGGAAAGTTCTGCTGGAGGTATTGATCTCTTAGTAATTACCCATGTAATTAAGATTATTGTTAAGATTTCTATTTTCATTATATAGGAGTTAATTTGATAGACTGATGTGTTTATTGAGCTAAAAATTTCCCAGTAGTTTATATGCTCATGTTCTCAATTTAAGTACCTTTCTGTACTGCAAAATTGTGCAGTTATTATATGGGGTTCAGCATTGCAGGTGTGCTATGACCAAAGCCTGAAATCATCCAATGAGTCCTGGCACTCCTACAGATTTGAGGGCGTGGTAGACTTTATAACTAGTGAAAGTGGAGGTTTCTCTGCTTCCAGTAATCTGCAAAACATTTTGGCCAACATACCTCAAAGAAGATATAATGGAACCATGGAAGGTCCAGAGAGGGACAATTAGCATGCTAGAATTAGAAAGGAAGTTAAGAAGTCATCTAGTCTCACTTATTTACAATTCCTATTCAATGAAGGAATCGTCTCATGTCCCCCATTTTGGTCCATCCTACACACTGCTGCCAGAGTAATGTTCCTTAACTTAAAGTCTAATCATGTTACTACCCTACTCAACCAATTCCATTGGGTTCCTATTGCCTCAAGGACCAAATATAAATGCTTCTGTTTAGCTTCTAAAACACTCACAACTTGCTCAAATCTACCTTTCTGGTTTTGGCAGACATTATTCCTCTCCCATACTCTACATACTCTAAACTGGCCTTTTTTTCTGTTTTCCATCCAGTATGACAATCTGAATAGTCTTATCCTTATATGAAGAGAATGGGAGCCATTGAGGTCACACCTGCCAAAGCATTTTATTCAGAGATATTAAGAACATCTGGACCTTAGGCTTCTGTGTTTGTGTACTTTAGGCTGTGTCCATTTTGCTCAGTCACAAGCTTCTAAAAAACCAGGCAGTTTAAAGCATATGTAATCAGATAACATATGATTTAATGGGGCTATGCTTAACCAAGGCTTGCCATTTTTACTTGTAGGGTATTTAAAGATGGTGATTCCAAGTAAAGAAAAGACACTAAGGCTAAATCTAGGGAAGGAAAACAACCATGCTTTTGGTGGGAAGAAGGGACAATTTTTACTTGTGGATAAAGCTCAAAATATCATGTCTGGCTGACTGTCTATGAGCTTTGAATTCTTTCTTACAAAAGCAGAGACTGCTCTACAATTCCTATAGCTAGGTCCTGATTTATGCAAATAACAAATCCCCTGAAGTGTTTGCATTTATTTGAATTTGCACTATTGGAAGTTATAATTATATGAAATATGGCAACTGATTCTAGCCCATTGGAAATGTGTAGTGTAAATTTGAATAATGTGACCGTTCTATAGGGAATTCATTATTCATAATAATCAGAACCTAACTACTTTCAATGGAATTAGAGATACCTGGAAAAATTTCATTTGTGACCTTTAGAGTCTCCTAATTAGGGCCCAAGCCCCTCAAACCCCATCCTTTCAAGAAAAGTGGGAATATGAAAAAAATATGATATGGTTAATGATTAAAAAAAACACAGGCATTTCACTGTTCAAGAATTTACTTCGACAATATGTGTGTGAACCTCAGTAAGAAGCTAATTCCCCCTAGAGGACATTTTATCTTTCTTGGGTATGGAGCTTTCACTAAAGTCAATGAATTTTCTAAGAGTGAAAAAAAAATGAACCCTAGGAGAACAAGCCATAAATGTTTAGTTCTAAGGGGCTCGGGTTCTTGAGGAGAGGTCACAAGATTGAAAGAACAAGACCCAGTGTGAATTGCCATCAATTAGCAAAGATGAAAACTGGCTCATGATGAGAACAGGGTTAACTTCGCTGGAAAATGCCAACTCAATGAGCTGTAGTGATGTGATCACAGAAGAAAAAAGAAGCATTTAAGATAAAAAAGGAATTAAATTTATATATGATATTTCTAAAATATGCAAATGAGAACAAGCAACTATTACTAGGAGAGGAAAATTCATCCATTCAAAAATTTATGACTTGGGATGGTAAAAGGAAATAGCTGTCTTTTACTTGAGAAACATATTGATTTTTAAATGTTAACATTCACTTAACTGAGAAAGTCTGAAACCTAGCATGAGTTGGAATGCTTTGGCCAAATGGTGCTTCATTCCCATCAAGAATAGACTCCCTTCCCCAACACTAGCTAAAAGGGCTCTGAAAGCAGAAGTCATATCTATCCCCCTTGGGATGGCAAGATGCTTGTTAAACAGACTTGAGGCTAGTCAGTTAGTAAGGCTTGATTGGGTGGGCTGAGGGCAGGGAGGTACGGTTGAGGGCAGTAGAAAGGAAAAACTGAGAAGATAGTAAAAGAAAAGCCATTTTCAAATTACATAGCCGATATAGATACTATCAGATCTGAAAATGGACTTGATGCTGTGAACTGGATTTTTGTTTTTCCCTGTTTAAAAAAAATAATAATACTTAATGGAGGGAGCTTCATAAGCAAAGGCCTATTTTATAACTCACTTCGGCAGGAAGGCTAGAGAGATGTTCTTACCATGCTTCAGATGTAGGCAGCTGTCATTCTTGGACCTGTACCTGGAGAAAATTGTGTCCTTTAACAAAGATTCATTGAAGATGGGTTTTTTGTACATTCCAAATACGTAGCACGCTATAACATCATGTGGAAGGGTTTGCTTTGCTTTTTGTGGTTCATTTTTATTTGTGTCATATAGGTAGAGGGAATGTTTTTTAATGAAGGAAAAATAAGACCTCACTAATGCCTGGTGCCTATCTGCTAGAAAGATGAACTTCTCTTTGTGTTTTACATTAAATAACACAGGGAACTATGAAAAATACTTCAAGGGGATATAGCCTATTGCAGTCTATGATAACCATGTAATAAAACATCTTTGAGGACTTATGCAAATGGAAAAGACAGAATGGGTAAAGGCAAAGAGAATACAGCCAAGCAATAGAAGCGAAGAACTAAGAGTTCAAACACAGTTAGCACCTAGGATTCCAAGGTGAAAGCGGTTTTTGATGCACCTTCACATGATCACATTAAAAAGAAATCTCTTAAAAAAATTTTTTTGAGCATATAAGGAAGAAAAAGAGAAGAAAAACAACTTGGAATCTAGAATATGACAGCGTTTAGAGAGAATGCATGTCATTTTGAGCATAGGGTTTTAGAAGCGTGTGAATTGGACACCAAAAAAAATCACTTTGGGCATACCTGATGTGGATTCCTGTAATTTCTCTCTCTTCCTCTTCTTTTTCTTACCCTGGAAAACAGGGAATTCATCATGCAATTTACATATAACACATGTGACATTTAATCAACCGAAAGAGAAAGACCAGAGATAAGAATATCCCTTTCTTTCTTATTGTTCATAGAAAGAGAGATACATACAGAGAGAAACAGAGAGACAAAAAAAGAGAGATATAGGGACAGAAGGACAGACTGAGAGAAATGGGAGTGGGAAAATGATGGTGGGAGAATAAGACCAAGGGAAAGGGAACTTAATTTGATCCCCCTTCTTCTTTCTTTTTTTTTTTTTAAGCAATTGGGGTTAAGTGACTTGCCCAGGATCACACAGCTAGTAAGTGTCAAGTGTTTGATCTGAGGCCAGATTTGAACTCAGGTCCTCCTGACTTCAGGGCTAGTGCTCTATCCACTGCATCACCTAGCTGCCCCTTGATTCCTCTTTTATAGGTTGGGATGGTGTAGACATTTGTTTACCTTAAATGCTTTCAAAATTCCTGCTTATTTCCATAATGTGCTGAAAATTTTAGGTTCCATTTATGTCCTATCTATAATTCTATAACTTTTCATTTTCATCCTTACTAGTTTCCCCCAAGTAATAAAGTAGTCATTAAAGTCACTTTATTAATAGAATTTATTGTTGTTCAATTGTTTCAGTCGAGTTCGATTCTTTGTGACCCAATTTGAGGTTTTCTTGGCGAAAATACTGGAGTGGTTTGCTATTTCTTTCTCCAGCTCATTTTACAAATGAGGAAACTGAGGCTAACAGGGTTAAGGGACTTGCCCAGGGTCATACAGCATCACTTACAGTCTATTTATATGTGTGTGTATCTATATCTATATATATATAGATATAGATATAGATACACACACACACACATATATATGTAATGTGTGTGTGTTTAATAGTATAGTGTAGTATAGTATAGTATGCTATATTTATATATCAAAAATGACCAAATTTGATTTAGGATGCCATTTTCAAATAATTATAATCTAATAATGTATAAGGTACCTTCATTCACCCCAGACATGATAGAAAAATCAACAGTTAATCTAAGAGCTCTAATGGAACTATATACTATATACGGTATGTGTGTGTGTGTGTGTGTGTGTGTGTGTGTGTGTACCATACACTCCCTCTTTTTTTATGCTTATGCAGTCACAAATACATTTTTCTTCCTCTCATATTGTCACCTGATTGGCTGTGGAACCAGAAGACTTTAGCTGAATCTGTTCACACAAATACTCACTAGGGAAAATGGGAGAAAGAAACTTAGTGATAGTGAATAAAGTCAGTTAAGAAAGCAAATGAAAATCACCAGGACTTTTGTGTGTCTTGAAAACATGTTCCATTCACCCCTATGCATTCTTTGGATTTCCAAATATTTGTGTAATTGCACTATTTGGCTCTAAAGAGTGAATAGCTGAAATGTATCTGGCCTCTAGAGTCTGAAACGCATAATCTGAAAAGCCTCTTTCAGACATTATTTTATTTCATCCTTACAACAACCTAATGTGGCAGGTGCTATTATTATCCCCATTTTACAGACGAGGAAACATTCGTGTTGGATCACACATGAAGTGTCTGAGGTGGCTTTTGAACTGAGGTCTTCCTGAGTTCAAGTCTAGTACACTATTCATTATCCCACACTGTTCTTCGAATTAATTAGAAGAGTTTAAGATGATAGGGAGAAAAACCATGGTCTCTTGCACCATGCACTCCTAATCCCTCCCCCCCCCTTTTTTTTCCTGCACCCAGAAAGATAGTAAAAAGTCAACAAAATTAAAATAAAATCACTCTGAAAAGATTATGTATAGAAAATCGATCTCTACTCATATGGTAAAAATGTATTTGTGTGTAAAATATGTAAAAAAGTACATATGTGTATATATGCACATAAAATATGCATGGATATAATCGAGAAAAAGAAAGAGACAAAAGAGGCAGAGATGATAAGAGACAGACACAGAAGAGGGAGAGGACATTCTTTGAAGCTTGCTATTTCTATGCAATATTTATCAGAGGAACCAGCGATAGTTAAATAGAGATTTAACTATCTCCTTAAAAAGGCAATGTTCTATAATTTTCCTAACCAATGAATAAAGATAATTAATCATCCAATGTCCTGTTCACTAAATTAGAGTGAAAATTTCACAGAAAGCTAAGCTACATGTAGAAGGCTGGAAATACATATATATAATTTTAAAATTGCTAAACGGTCCTTCAATGTGTTTCTCACATCTGAGTTTTCTTTCAAAGAAGAGAGTAATTATACTATCACATACTATACTGCAGCTTTTGTGAAAACACATTGAACCATAACCTAGATGTAAGTTGCTTTTTCAAATGCCTATCAGTCCCAAACAGAAATACTGGCTGTACTTAAGCGTGTGAACACACAAAAAAGATCAATCTCCTTTCCATTAAAACTTGGTTTATATATAATACAGTACCCCAGAACTTAAAGGTGTTGGCTTAAACAAAAGATATTTTTATTAGTGAAAAAGGTTTTGATTGCTCTCAACTAAGGTGTGGTATTGGTTGTTTTACAAAATTGTCCATTATTAGTCAAGTTACCAAAACATGAAAGTGAAATTTCAACCATTCATAGTATGGGAAATTTTGTTATGAAATCATGGGATACTACCTACCACCAATGCACTTCCAATGGATGTCAGCACAGCATTTTTTCTTTTAATTATGCTCCAGTGACAAACGTTCTTCAGTTTTAGTCTGGTTGGTTTAAGTTGACTAAAACCAACTTTAAAAGAATCAAGGTTGTTTCTGTTTGAACTGCGTGACTGAATGGTAAGTGTCCCATAATAAATGGCCTCGTTCATGGCCAAAGTAATTATTAGGTGATGGATTAAAAAGAGTATGCAACATATTTGGGTTTTCAATCGATTGTGGTAGATCCTTAAACCGAATAAAATCATTATATTTAAAGTATTTTACAGAGGGGAAAAATTCACAGAAGAATTCAATTACAATGGTTTCCATTAAAACCGTGCCTCTAAAAATATGTAACCACTTTAAAAAAAATCTCAACTTTTTATTTAACCATCAAAAAAAGGAAAGAGTCCAACCCACTGGCTGGCCTGACAATGAGGGGTTACTTAAGACCTACTGAAACCAAGTATACACATAAAAACCAATAAATTAAGAGTGCTGACAAAAACAGGGGTGCCTCTTTGAGTGTGGCCATTGACGAAATATTTTAGGGAAATTATTACACAGCAAAATCCAAGATAGAATTAGAAGAGGTAATTTTCAAAACAGGAGATCAAAATCTAAGCATTTTATCATTCCACTAATAGGACTGTGCTAGGATTCTGTATATATAGGACACAAAGAATGGGGAGGCATGTAACCCCTTGAATCAAGATATTTTTTCCTAAGTCAAAAGGAGGTGACAAGCTTAAAATTTTTTGAGGGAAATTTGCATCATAAAAATATGAAGGTTTTTAGAACTTAAGATTCTTTTCTTTTTTTTTTTTTCCTTAGTGAGGCAATCGGGGTTAAGTGACTTGCCCATGGTCACATAGCTAGTACATGTCAAGTGTTTGGTCAGAGGCCAGATTTGAACTCAGGTTCTCCAGATTTCAGGGCTGGTGCTCTATCCACTGCACCACCCAGCTGCCCCGATTCTTTTCTTCATTAACCATACAGCTTTACCTAATGCTTAAATTCAATTCCCAGAATGCTAAAAGGACTTTTTGTCCAAAGAATTCTATAAGAAAGAAAGAATGGAGTATATCTAACAGGAAAAAGCTGGGGAAAACACAGAATGGAAGTCAGGGACCTGATTTCTATTCTCAGCTTGGACAAGATGCACCTCTTCTGTATCTCAATAAAATGAATGGAGAAGATTGGGGCAACTCAAAGGCCTCCTTCCAACTTCCAATATCTATGAAGTCATAAACTTTCAGGATGAGATATATAAATATTTTAAGGTCAGCAGGCAATGTTTTCATAGAGAACTAAATACTATGTAAGATTTGAGTCATAAACATAAAATCTTGCATGAATGTCAAGGCCAACAGAAGCAGTGTTCACCCTCATAGCAACTCAACTTTTGCCCTTATCACAGAGATAATCCTGTATATTTTAAGATTTTCCTGACTGATACCACCAATGTTGGTCACATGTTGGACATGAGAATTATTTTCAAATCAGGCTCATAGTTCAAGTTCTTAGAGTTACGCTGTTTTCCCTCCTTAAAATAGGATGACATTTCTAAATAGATCATTAACAACAATATACCCTCATGAGTCTTTAACTTTGCTAATGCAAGAACCCAGACAAATGCATGATGATGACTGCAGTAATCATTTCAGAGGCATCAAATGTAATAGTCTCATAAGGATATTTTAGTGGAAGTTTTGAATGGCAAGAGAGCTTAATGGTCATCTAGTCCAAATTCTGTATCTCCAAAAGGAGTCATATGGTTATCCATCATACCTCCAGTGGGGGGGAAATCTTTACCTTATTAGGATCAAAGAAAGACTTAGAGTTGGAAGGCACCTTAAAGGTCAATTTGTCCAACACCCTCCAAAGAAGTTAAATGACTTTCCCAAGGTCAAATAGGTCGTACAGAACAGAGACACGATTCAAACCCAATGCTCCTCTAAGTGTAGCATTCTGCCCTTTGCCATACTTATATGTTCATACCAAGTTGCTTAGTTTTTAATGAGTTAATGCCTGAAATATTCACATATCAACAAACAAAAAAAAAACAAAAGACAAAAAAACAAATGAAAATAGGCAACCACAGACAGTATGTGCTTACATAATTGTCTCTTGCAGACCAGCCTGGATAGAGCTGCATGTGTAACTGCCTTTCTTTCCGAGCTAATTCATAATATTTAGCCTGTTCTTCACGGGAGAGGGCGTGCCACTGCAAGCAAAAATGGTAGGCAGAGAAGAGAGAAGAAAACAAATGGAAGGGTAAGTGAATATAATAGGTGATCGTGGCAATATACAAAGACATCTTTCAAAACGTTTGGGAATGATTTAGAATATTAAGCTTATTAACTCTGATTTATCCTTAAATAACCAAAGACCAAAGGGGTAAGTGAAGCCAGGTCCCCCTGGGAATTGGTGGGCTACAGAGATGTCAAACCCAGGACTTTCTTTCCTGCTCAATTATATCACAAGGCACATCAAAGTCAATCAAATTTTGCTAAGAAAAATTATTTCTATGATCTTCTCTCAGTATTTTCTACCATAAATTAGAAGAGATTTCCTTGGTGTACTTCAGCACCATTTTTGTTTTTTGCTGCATTCTTTATTCATTATTTTATTATTATTGTTATTTTTTTGCCATATTCTCAGATCCGAGTCTAAATGACCATTCACTCATGTCAAATGAAAAATATTTCCAGCTTTTTTTTTTTTGCATTGATTCTCTCTCTTGCATGAACACTTTCTCATAATGTCACATGAAGGGTTCTCACTCTGTAAGGAAAGGAAATGAGCTTCTCTCATGTGATCCTTCCTTTCACATAGCAACACATCAAAGGTCACATAGACACACTCTAACCGCCCTTCAGGAGGCCACCATGAACATTGTACATTCATGCCAGCCTTCTTTATAGCCATCATTTTATCTTCCCTCGCATGGAAATTAAGGAATCATCTTAACTTTGTTCTGCCAGCTACAACTTGATTTCAATTATCTAATTTGGCAAATCTAGATAGCAAACATCCTTTACATTTTCCCTGTGTGTCACTGCTTTGATACATTTCTAGATAATGTGCATTATGTTAAAATGGAACATCTAGGCAGTATAGCAATTTTGCTATGTATATATGTATATATTTATACACAGATATACATGTATGTATATACATATATAATGGATATATGTGTGTAGATACACACTAGCTGTGTATCTACACACATTCTCAAAATTCTCCCCTCTTTCAAACTTCCATATCACTATGAAGGGCACCACCACTTCTAGTCACCAAAGCCAAGAACCTGGGGGTCACTGTTGACACCTTGATCTCTCTTACCCACTATATCTAATCTTTTGCCAAGTCCTGTTGACTCTGTCTTTGCAACATCTCTTGTATATGTCCCTTTCCCTATCACTGCTACCCATCCTGGTACAGGTCCCATCATGTCACACCTAGACCATTTCAAGAGCCTGCTGGTGGGTCTGCCTGCCTTAGTTATCTCACCACTCCAGTTCATCTTCCACTAAGTTGCCGAATTGATCTTTCTAAAGTGCGGGTATAACTGTATCACCCTGATCATTTATAATATTCTAGTGGCATCTTATTACTTCCAGGATCAAATACAAAATTTGCCATTCAAAGCCTTTTGTAACTTGGCATCTTCCTACTTTTCTATTCTTCTTCTATCTGACTCCCCTAAATGTATTCTATGGTCTCCTTGCTGTTCCCTGAATAAGACATTCTCTTAATTCTTCATTTTCAGTGGCTGCCCCGCCATAGTTGGAACTTCCTCCCTCCTCCCCTTTCTTTCCTGGCTTCTTTCAAGTCTCAGCTTCTGCAAGAAGCCACTCTGGTCCCCTTAAATGCCTGTGCCTTCCCTCTGGGATTACTTTCCATCCATGCTGGATATATCTTACATGTACATATTTGTTTGCATGTTGCCTCACCAATAAGAATGTAAGCTCCTTGAAGGCAGGAGCTATTTTTGCTGTTCTTTGTGTCTCTAGTTGCCTAGCACAGTGAGTGGCACATTATAACTGCTTAATAGAGGCTTGTTGACTGATTGACTGAACAATCTTGGCCCCAAAGGAAAGATATAAGAAGACATACTCCTTTGATGAGGTGGGGAAAGAGACAGGTCCATGGTGTGAGGCACTGAATATATTTTCATACAGTTTTAATATATTGATCAGTTTTGCCGATTTTTCCTTCTTCCTCTTTTTCTTTAGAAAAATCTTTGTTATAAGAGATGGCTCTATGCAAGGGGGAGGGAAGAGATACAGGGGGAAATTGAAGCAACGTAAAAACAAGATATCAATAAATTCAAAAAAAGAAATGCTAACCATCTTTTCAGAAATTTTGTAGTTCATTTTATTTTTCTGTAAAGAGGTAGGACATTTTCCAGTCTTAAGAATATCTGCCAGGCAATCATCCTTCTATATATCCCTCTTCTTCTTGACACTCTCCTCTCTATGTTTTTTCATGACACTATCTCTTTTGTTTCTCTTCCTACCTATCTGACTATTCCTCACTCTCCTCTACTGGAATTTCATCCAGGTCATGCCCATTGACTGTAGGGAACCATAGGGTTCCCTCCTGAACCGTCTTCTCTTCACACTCTATAGTATTTTACTTGGTGATCTCCTCAGCTCCTATGGATTCCATTATCATCTCTATGCTGATGATTCTCCGATCTGCTAATTTAGCCTTAACTTCCAGACTCAAATCTCCAAATGCCTAGTAGACATCCTGAACTGGATATCCTGTAGACGTCTTAAAACTTAACGTGGCTAAAACTGAACTCATTCTTTTTCCTTCCAAATCTTCCCCTCTTTCTAACTTTCCTATTACTGTGCAGGGTGCCGCCATCTTTCTAGTTACCCACAACTTATGTATCTTCCTTGACTCCTTATACTTTTTCACTCCTCATACCCGATTTGTTGGCAGTGACTGTCTGAATTTACCTTTGGAACATTTCTTGTATACATCCCCTTCTCTCCTCTGACATTGCCACCACTCTGGTGAAGGTCCCCATAATTTGTTTTTGTTGTTCAGATGTTTCAGTCATTTCTGACTCTTCACCATCCCATTTGGGGTTTTCTTGACAAGGATACTGGAGAGGTTTGTCATTTCCTTCTCTAGCTCATTTTACAGGTGAAGAAACTGAGGCAAATAGGGTTAAGTGACTTTCCCAAGGTCATACAGCTAGTAAGTGTCTGAGGCTATATTTGAACTCACAAAGAGGAGTCTTCCTGATACCAAGCCCAGAACTCTAGTCACTGCACCACCTAGCCGACCATCACCTTATGTCTGGACTACTGAAATAGCCTGCTGGTTGGTTTCCCTGCCATATGTCCATCCCTACTCCAATCCATCCTGCTTTCAGCTGTCAGTGATTTTCCTAAAGTTCAGGCCTGACTATATCATCTCTCTCTCCTCAAAAAACATCAGTGGCTTCTTATCACTTCAGGATCAAACATAAACTCCTTTGTTTGGCATTCAAAGCCCTTCAAAACCTCCTTCCTCCTTCCACCTTACTGGTCTTTTTTTTTTTAAGGCAATTATGGCTAAGTGACTTGCCCAAGGTCACACAGCTAGTGAGTGTCAAGTGTTTGGTCTGAGGTCGGATTTAAACTCAGGTCCTCCTGACTTCAGGGCTGGTGCTCTATCCATTGTACCACCTAGCTGCTTCCTTTATTTAAAATTTTTTTTTCTTCCTAGTCTTACATCTTACCCTGGGGGCTATCTCCAGTCTTCCTGATGTATATGTTGTCCTGATATATATCTGGCCACTGGACCCAGATGGCTCCAGTGGAGAAAGTGAGGCTAGTGACCTTGCACAGTCCTCCCTCACTTAAATCCAATTCACTTGCAAGTCATGGCATCACCTTCCTGATGTCATGGTCCTCTTTGAGAACAAAGGACAAACAACATCTTACATACAATGTACTCTGTGACCTACTGATACTTCTGTCTTAGCTGTGTCTTAAATAAGACATTCTATCTCCTGACTCTGGGCATGGCTGTCACCCCATACATGACATCATCTCTCTCTTCATCTCTGCTTACTGGCTTCCTTCAAGACCTAGTCAAAATTCTACCTTCCAAAAGAAGCCACTCTCTGTCCCTTTAAATTCTAGGACCTTTCCTTTGTTCATTACTTTAACCTTTATTATTATTTATTACAGTTTATCCTGTCTCCAGCTTGTCTGTATACAGTTATTTTTATATTGTCTCTCCCATTAGATTGTGAGCTCGCTGAGGGTAGTGACTGTCTTAAACTGTAAAGTTTAAGAGAAAGACTCTAAAATTCATAGCTTGGGCTCAAGACAAATTCATAAATACAAGACTTGTTTTAAAAAAGGGAGGAGGGAGCCAAAAAATGTACTCCTAAAATAAAGTTACTTGAAACATACACAGATTTTTTTCCCTTGCCAGTCTAGTACATACTGTAAAATAAGTGCTGGCCAGAGGCAACAGTGGAATGGAGAAATAAAAAAGGTCATAATTTTACCAGCAATTTACAACTTCACCACTTATATTTACTCACAGACGAACTATTTCTGTAGAACTGGTACAACAGCAGAAGTATTTGAAATGTATATTGTGCAAAAAGAAAAATTAGCATATGCTCTCTCACATGCATACACACGCACACATATATATTTTGGGTGAGAATAGTTATACTGGTGTCCCTTATTCTTAGGAATTGACTTTTATTCAATGAATGGTGAAGTAATTCTAAAGCTTAGGAAATGATCAAAAAGATAGGCACTATAATACCTATTCTATCATTTATCCATTATATCCATTCATTTAACAGAATATTGAAATGAGATATATACAATCATTTCTATCCCTTCTCACCCCAGCATATTCTTGCCTGCTACCATTCGGTTAATGAGTCAATAAACATTTATTAAATACCTATTATGTGCCAGGCTTTGCCGTAAGCACTGAGAATACAAAGAAAGACAGAAGGGGATTATTCTACAGTGTCTAGAGGGCTAAGGGTTGATAGGATTTGATAATCTATAGCCATATTATAGACCAGAGATAAAAAAGCATCCTAAGCACACTTAGATGTCCATAAATAAGAATGGAGGTGAGCCTGGTTTATACCCCAAACAGCAACACTTCATTTCTAGTTTCAAAACTTTTTTTGAAGGAGGGCATAGAGAGGATCCCAGTCTTATGATTTTATTACCATAGAAA